TTAAATACAGTTTTTTATTTTCTCATTTTTTCCTTTTTTTTTCATAATTTCACAGAAACGAACACTTTTCCCCCCTCTACTCCCGGGGAAATTTCTACGAGAAACGTGAAACGTTCTGTTTTATTAGTCAGCACAGAAATATCGTTGCACGGAATGTCACACGCAGAATGTTTCGTCCGGATTCTTGGTGTAGCGAGTGCAGTTTACAATTTTGGGCGAACGTGAGCTCAAAGCGGATGGCCTGTGCATTTATTAACGGAAAATAGGTCATTTCCGCGTGACTTCTAGGAATGAAGTTGTAAAGGAATCTGTCGGCAGATTCGAATTTTCCGAATGTTCTCCGAAATTCCCACCTGAGAGAACTACGTTAAATCTGACCTGAAGATTATCCAAGTAATATAATTAAATATTAAACAATCCTAGGAGAAAGGTTACGTGGAGGAGGGATAAGAAAGTTCCAGAACTCGTTTCTCATTTATTGTTAAGCGACTCAGAAACTGTTCGCTACAGTTTCCAAACGAGGAGGAACACATCGCGGAGCCGAAAGTTCCGCCTTTAGGAATTTAATCAACACCAGATTGTTGCACTTTTTCACTCGGTTCACTTCGTTAGACATCGCCTAGGAGATGATTATATCCAGCAGGAACTATTCCACGATTCCAGGTCACGACGTTGTCTAACAAGCGTCGCGAAACGTCCGTTCTCCTCATCTCGATGCTCACGTCTAATTACTTCGACACGCCTATTAGTTAGCCAGTGCAACCTCTAATTGATTAGAGAATTCTCCTTGCACTCTGATTAGGTCCAATTAAATCTACGCACCCGGTGGACAGATTTCAACGGCGGAGATACGTGCTTTCACAGAATTTTCCACTCCGCTGGATTCGCAGAAAGTGATTCCCTTTGAAAAGGGAGACCGATAGATCGAGAATTCTTTAGAGATGGATAGCAATAGACGCGTACGACGTTCTAATTAGAGATCTACGTATCGAGCAGTGTCTGGTTCTGACGTGAATCACTTGATATCGTTGGTCGACTGGCAATTTCTTAGAAACCGAACGTGATTCTGGCGAATTTCTCGGAACGATAATTCTGCATCTGGATTTTCAGAATGTATCTCTCGCGGAAGAAAGGCAGACGTCTGATTCATTCGTATTATCCAAACATCCCGTCGAAGATAGACGAACTTTGAAACGTCGAAAAGAATTTCCACGATATTTATCGTTCGTGGCGAATCTTCGATTACGTTTAATCAGCTGCGAAGTGTCAGAAACGGGAAACGTAACATTTCTCACCGTGATCGGCCGCGTTCACGCCACTCCAGATATCGGGGGAACTGGGACACTATACTGTATCTAAATAGAGCGGGGAACGTTGGATCAATCGATCCCGAAGTCAAGTTTGATTTCAACGGAGTACAACAATCTTCTAAATTGTTCCCCGGCGATAATCGAGTTTCCGACACGCCACTCTTTGACCTAATTGATTCACGTGCCATCTCTAAGATATCTCACAGGTATCCATCCCTCGAAGAATCCTCTTTTCCATTGAGAAATCAACCGGATGGCCGCTTTTAAGGTAACGAGTGGACACACTCGCTATCTCATCTGGCAAACAGCCGGTGAAACAAAGCCTTTGTTCTTTCCGATTGGGCAAATTCCTTGGACACGTTCCTAACGTATCATTCCAAGATGACTTCTCTTCGTACTTTCCAATGGACTGGTATTTCTTTTCCAGAACACCCGAATGAAATTCATGGTCTTTTCCTCGTTATTTCTCGCTCTAGGAACTCCGTATTAATTCGTGTCTCGTTAGAAATAATGAACATTCTTAAACGCTTCAATGCCGGAAGGGTCATTGAAACGAGGCTGCCAGGTCATGACCTCACGTGTATATATATATTTGTGTGTACATGTGTAGATATATATATATATAAGAGAGAGCAACACGCTGGTTCACCAGGTAGTACAGGTGCATGAATAAAAGATAATCCATCTGGATTTACATTTTACCGGGTGGTCTGTGACGAACCACTGTTTCTCTCCATCTTTCTACCCCCTCTACAGCTGGCCATAATCATCCCTCCCTGTTAGACACCGGGGCCAATAATAAGAAATCGATCAAATGTCCTGTCCGCGACATAGAGACATTTAGGTCTTCAACTAAATCCAGACGACTTTCAGACAGTCCGCGGCCAGATGTCGAGCGGAACGGTGCCTCTTGTGTTGTCGGGCTTCTCGGGAAATGGTCGTTTATTTATAATTCTCGGGTCGTGGTTAATCGATACCGGGGGCTGATGTATTAATTAACCGATACGCTGAAAAATTCTTCTGTTCGAAAAATCGACGTTCCAGATGGTCTCGAAATAATCAGAAAAATTATCAATCGCAACCGAAACGACAGAAATCACTCTTCAGTGGGTGTCGATCCTCTCAAAAATAATTCTGAACACTAATTTAATCACCGGCTAAGTTCGTCGAATTAGAAAAAAAAAAATTGTTCAACGGTGATCGAACAAATCCTTCTTCAGGGGTGTCAATCGTCTCGACAACTCTCAACTCTAATTTAATCAGTAAGCTCACCTAATCTTCTCAGAGAAAAATACTTTTCTCTTCAACCGTGACCGAAATCAACGTTCGCACAATTTTCCCACGAACCTTCCCGATCCCCGAAAATCCTGGAACATGGAATTGTTCCACGATAGAAGATCGTCTTATCGAGGATCACGTGGTATCCGCGCAACAGCTCCCCGATCGGGCACTCGCCCAGGTAAACATTCCCATCGCTGGCGTGCCGAATAGTCCAACGAAGTTCAAACAAACATCCGCGGGATACACGTTCTAACCGAGGCAGTAAAAATAAATGGAACGTAACCGCGATCCGCCATTGGTCGTGTCTCGTCTGGCCATAGGCGTCGGCGTCGGCGGGAGAGGATGAACCGGAAGGTAGAAACGCGACGACGACGACGATGATCGCGTAGCGGTGATTAATTCCGATTAGAAAGTTTCACGGAACACTGTGATGCTTGTTATTGGCCTAGACGAGAGGTCACGAAGGCAGCCGCTATTAAGGTAATACATAAGGCTAAGCCTGCTCTAAGGTTGGATACTTCGAAACCGTACCGTAGGGTGTGACTAAAAGGGGGGGATTTGCCCTAACCCAGCCACACACATACACAGACACTTTTATATATCCACGTATACAGAGTGAAACGTGGGTAAGGTATACTCGAGCGAGTGAGGCTCTCGCTCACTCTCTCCGTCGTCCTCTCCCCTTCGCCAATCGAACGCCGCCACCCTTCGCGGTCCGCATTGCATCAGTGTGAGGCTAGCACTCGACCAGGACTCTTCCGGTTCTTCCTCCGCGTGTTGTAAACAACCGATATCACGGTATTTGGTGGGGCAACGTTCCCTCCTAACGGATCGATATCCCCGGTTCCTCGAGTCCTCTAGCCGCTTTCACTCGCGTCCACAGTCATTTTGCCGCCGCTTTTCCGTATACTCCAGGCCAGCCGGGTTTCTTCGCGCTCGATAAACGTCACACAGTGTGACAAAGGTACACACTTTCGTTGGTTGGTGGTTCTGGCGTGTAAGAGTAAGGACTATCTCTTACTGTTCGTTCGTGTTGGAAGGTTTTTTTTTTTTGTCGGTACATACGATTGTACAATGAGTGAGTGAACGATACGATGTCAGGGTTGGTATAAGTTAACCGGTGGTTGGAAGTGGTGAACAGTACACGTGTGCCAGGTTTTGTGGGGAGTATAGTGTGTGCCAAGTGTTTACTTATGGTCGATTGGTGGCCGTGGTTTCGTCGCAGAACCTCCACAAAGGCCGGATTAAATGGCAGAGAGTCCGATTAGCAACTCGAAACGCTACTATGCCAGGCAGGTTAGCCTCTGTCCTTCATGCGCTGTCGGATTATTCAAATTTTCTTTTACCCGTCTACTCTCTCCGATAATCTCGATCGTTTCTACCGTAAACGAGATTTCTGTTTTTCCACGGTATTCGGAATTTTGCGCGCACGTTTCTATGGCGATCCTCGGTTTTCTGTCGAGATGAAAGATTGATACTGTAGTGGGTGGGTTGAAACGAGTCTTTCTCCGACGCGATGGAACAGAAGAAAATAATACCGCGCTGGAAATGATGGAAAAGAGGCGAGCGTGGGTGTTATAGTCTCGCGCGTTGGTATTTGATAGAAAGGAGAGGAAGTTGGAAATATGGAACGAAACAAAGGTGCTCCTGATATTGTTCGTTCCGTGTGGAAAATAGACGCGGTATTGATACAAGCGAAGCGCCGAGTATTTTTTTCCCCTCATTTTCTTTTCTTTCGCATTTTTTTCTTTCTCTTCCTTCACTTCGACGAACAATGGCGTTTTTTTTTTTTTTTTATCGAATGTTTAATCAAGCGAATGTTCTCCATCGCCACATTTCTGTCTTGAGTGTGCAACCACGGCGGATGTATCACGACTGTGAAAACAAACCCTCCGTGTGGAAAGTAGCGAGAGAAGAATCGATGTTTAAATGTGATAACTACAATCTGCGTAATATTTTTCTAACGGCAGTTCACCTTACGAAATAATCGAACAATCGTAGAAAAGAGGATCGTGAAGGAACTAAAAACGAATCTCAGAATATGCATTCTCGCGAATACGCTGTGATTTAATTAAAAACTAAATTCAATTCAAAAGAATTTCGTATCTATGTATAAAACATTGCAAAAGAAAGAAGAAATTATAATTTTGTAAATTCCCCAGAAAACTTCACTTCCCGCTCGTTTCTTGTAACATTTCTCGTGAATGCGGAGGAAAATTTCATTGGAGAACAAAAGAAGAAACGTTCGAACGTAATCCATTGTCGAACGTTCTCGTTAATTTTCTCGTGGAGAGAGAAAAAAGAAAAGAAAAGAAAGGGGGACAAATAAAGAAAGAAAGTGAAAAATTGCAATTGCGCGTAGTTGAATCTGTCCTCTCCCAAAAGGCGCTTTTATACCGTGTGCTCTAGGTGCTGTCCCTTGGAAACGATATCCTCCCAGCGTACAGATTACAATCACCCAGAATCGGCAAGTGGACCATACTGCACTATTCACCCTTCAAGGCGGTCTGGGACTGGGTGATACTGTTACTCGTATTGTACACCGCGATATTCACCCCGTACGTCGCAGCCTTCGTCCTGTCGGATCCAGATTACAACAGCAGGAAGAACAAAAAGTACAGTGACGATCCCATCGTCATCATAGACTTCATAGGTGAGACACCGGAACAATGATTGTAGCTGTCTGACCATAGACAAGTCCTATTTCACTGCGCGAGTAGAAAGAGACCGTGGGCATGACCTCGTACAGTAGAGTATCTTATATATTATACCTTATTTGGAACAGCTTGTGTCGTCTAGCGATAGTTTTGCGAATAAATAGGTCGACTGAAAAAGTATCAATATTTCCTTTTTTTATTACGATCATTTTAATCTGCTTATTTGATTTGAACACGTCTGAAGATTGTTCGAGATTCGAGCACGATACAAAGAAAGAGAAAATTCTCCCCTGATTTAGTTCATTTGTATTTAATCGAAGTGAGAGAATGATTATATTTGGTAGATTCAAGGGGATGGTTTATGATCGAATCGAAGACAGAAAAGACACGCGTTTTCCACACAGATTTTCACGTGCGACACCCGTGTTGCTCTCACCGAGACTTTTGGTTTTTCAGTCGACGTCACTTTCATAGTGGACATCATCATAAATTTTCGCACGACTTTCGTGAATAGCAACGATGAAGTGGTGTCCCATCCTGCAAAGATAGCCGTCCATTACCTGAAGGGTTGGTTCATCATCGACCTGGTGGCCGCCATACCCTTCGACCTTTTTCTCGTTGGCTCACACACTGACGAGGTAAGTTTCGTCGCACGCTCCACGTTTTCTGAGAATCTTCTTTCCAGGCTGAGCCTGATCACCGTCGAATCACTTCTGATCAATTTAACTTCTCTCGAAATCGAAACGAAAAAGAAAATGAAAGAAAGAAATGTATAAAAATTGTCTACTCTCGTTTCGAAGATATTTCAATAATTCGAGTAAATTCTATCGGAACGGAAAGTATTATCAGCAAAAAAGATAAATGGAAATGGTAATAAGATTCACAGAAAGTTCATTCAAATACTGCTTGAAATTACGTGGAGTGTTTTTTAAAAAACGTCGATTCGATATGAAAAAAAAAAAAAGAGAAAGAAAAGATTGATGAAGGGAAAGAAAAAAGAGGGTCATTATTGATGAAAAAGGGAAGTGATTTGACGGACGGATCGGGTTTTTTCGGCCGTGGTTTCTAGAATGTCGATGTTAGCTGGTAAATATGATTAGGATGACATGCCGAGCCCAAGTTAAGTGCCCATAGGTGTGTCTTACCGGATTGGTGCTTAGTTCGTTTTCCCTTTTTTCGACGTTTCTCGGTGTTGAATGATTTCTCTTTTTTCTTTGTCGAAAGTTAGTCGATTCGACGTATATTAAATGTGCACACAATGTACGTACCGGCAAACGAGAAGGGACATTAACGGATTCTCGTTGTCTGGAACGGTTCCACACAAGTTTTCACGAATGGTACACGTACGTTATAGATCAAACAATATCGAGAAAGAATCGAGAAAATAATGAACGATAATTTCCTCGAGCAAAAAAATTTTCGATCGCGTTCAAAATTTCCCTCTCGAGAACGATCAAGCAATTGGCGCGCGAATTACACTGCAAAATTTATTCCGTTCGAAAAGTTTTCAAAATTAAAAGAAAAACTTGTACAAGAAGAGATGATTTTTTGTGAATAATACGATAGTTTATCAATTGGATTTGTACCTGTACACACACGTATGCATACACACTTGATCTATACATGTGTAAGTAAGTTTAGTCTCTCGCTGTGAAGATTTCTGCTCTGATTGTCGAAATGTTAGATTTTTTATTGTCAATTTCCTTGTCAAGATATTCTCTTCTGTATACTTTGCCCCGTGTCTCGTATATTTCTTTTTCTCCGTTTCAGTATATTTTTTTTTCTTTTTTTTTTTTGTTTTCTTTTCAATTTTACGTTCAGTCTCTCAATTCGATCGTCGTTTTCCGTTCGAGTCGTTTTCCGTTTCCGTTACTCTCATGATTTTCTCGTGTTTCTTTAGCAAACTCCTCCGTGCGGGGAAATTAGCGTATGTACGCCTCTTTTCGCCAGATGATTTTTGTTTTCATTCTGTTTCACACGGTGCAAACAAAAAAGAAAAAAGAAAAAAATGATTCGAAATCGTCCTGCGATAGAGAGAAAAAAAAAAAAGATGATAGTAACGCAGCTGCGAGTAATCTATGCGACCCCCTTATTCCCTATATTTCTTGACGGGGAAGCAAAAATAGAGCAGTGTAATTTTAATTATCCGCGCAGGAAAGTTTATTTACACGACCACGTATGCGCAAGTTGATCTCAATTTGCGAGAAAATGGCGAGAGTTTTCTCGTGCGAAAACGAAAGCAAAAGAAAATTTTAAAAAGCAACAAAAATCGAACATTTTTTTCTACGAGATCTCCGACGAGGAAAAAAGCGAATTTCTTTTCCCTTTTTAACGAATTTTACGTTGAATTTAAAATTACGTCCCCCCGTTTGTCTCGACGATTCTTTTCGAAGATGATGATGATGAAAAAAAAAAAGAAAGAAAAGAAACGCCCCCGTTTTTTTTTTTTTTTGGTCAGCTTTTTCCTGTCTCTCTCTCTCTCTCTCCGTCTGTCTCTTTTTTTGAACAACAATTTAAAAAAAAAAAAAATCACCGTAAATCATAAACGAACGAATTTTAACCTCAGTTTAACGTTTTCGTAGCTCGGCTTGGACAAGGACGAGGTTAGTTGACACACATACACACAGAAAAATTACTCACAGGCTGACGTTTTTTTTGTTCCTTTTTAATAAAAAGTACGCAGGTTTTCGATTTTACACACGTTTTTTACACACTAATGATTAAAAAAGAGGAAGTTCACCAACGCAGCCATGAATTTTTTCTATTTCTTTCTTATCCTTCCTCTCTTTCTTTCTGTCTGTCTATCTATCTCTCTGTCTCTCACACTCTGTCGCTCTCTTTCTATCTCTCTCTATCTGTTTCTATCATTGTACAAATTAATCGCTTAAGAAAGAACACGTCACTCACACACGTTGCGATAATCTCCGATATTTTATCTTGCACAACAATTATTTTCCATCTAACCAAACACCCACACTTTTTTTCTCGATGTGTTTCTCACACCTCCTCGACTTCCACCGAATCTTCACGTGACTCACCACACGTGTGTTCCTCATTCACACACGCACACACATATATATATATATATATTAACAGAAATTTACACACGCACACATATACATACAAAGAAGAAAACTCGACCAACTGCAACCCCTACGATATGTCGAGGAAGTTCGAGCGAAGTCGATCGACGTTAATATAGGAGAGAAAAGAAATCGGAGACAATGGAATTTTGTGAAAATTTATTCGCAGATTTTTCGTATATAAATTTTATTCTCGAGAAATCAGAGAGAAATGTCGATCGACTCGCTCACCCTCCCGTCTTCTGCGGCGTGAACAAACATTTCTCAACGGGTGAACCTTGAGGAAGCGTCTGCATGTTCACACAGTAAAGTATCTTGCAAAATAAACTCGACAACTGTAAATAATAATAATAATTATTTATCCACGTACGATCACTATTTTTGGTAGGACTTAACCAACTTGCATCAGAGTATGAAATCGTAGCGTACTTTTAACGATACCTGCTACTTATTTTTTTCTCTCTTTTTTTTTATTATTACTATTATTATTAATTATTCCGAGCCTTGTGTATCCCTTACGAGTATACAAGCATCTTTTGTATAATATACCAAGAGTACACAAGTATGAATGGAGCATAAGGAAAAGAAACGAGAAAGTTTATCAGTATTTGATAAGAATACGTTGTATATTGTATATATATAAATACACTCGTACATATATATACATATTTAATGTATCCTGATATTAGATAGTTGATAGTGTTTTAGATGAATTATTCCTAACAAATATTGATCCGTTATTATTGAACATAAGTTTTAAACCAATTATTCCGCTAAATTTCATCTTTCTGTCGTTGCTCCTTTTCACTCTCTCTCTATCTCTCTCTCTCTCCCCTCACATTTTTAACGTAGTGACGTAGAGAATTCGTATGGGTATCAATACTTGTTGAGAATAATGCAAAATAGAGAGTGTTCTCTTTGTAGTTAGTTAAACAACGATATATACACCTATGTATATATATGAATTTTTCAATTACCAAGTATTGATGCTCAATAAAAACGAAAGAATTTCACGTTGTTCCTGTCCGTCGACTGTAAATCCATTTGAATTGTGTGGTATTGTGGCACGAAATTAGATGAGATAACGTAACGATCGAAGCCGTTCGAGTCTGATCGAAAGGTGAATTGAGATTTAGAGTGATGTCTGGCTGACGGATCGAAGCCAGACGAGCTTGCTGGAAGAAAAGAAACGGTACCTCGTTGTTTTCTGTCGAATGATGATGATGATCCTTTTTTTATATACATGTATATTGTCGGCAGAGAACGTTTGTGCGTTTTCGTCTGTCACGTTTACATCTGTTGCACTTCAGCTTCTCCATTTATTGTGTATTTTCTTTTCTCCTATAGAGAGTGCAAGGTGCAGTTGCAAACAAGTTTAATTTAAAAGTTCTTCCACATAATATATTTACGAAAAAAAAAAAAGAGAAGTGAAGGAAAAGGGTAAACTATCGAATACCGGAAGCATCGAAAATAATATTGGACATTCTAGACGCCGAGAGAGATCTGGTTAATAAAATTCCGAAATTATCGAGGAATTAAGGTACAAGCATGCTAATTATTAATATCGTGTTGCTCGATATTTCAGGTATCTAATCGTTCCTTCTTTTTTTTCTCTCTACATAATGTTTTACTTAATCGATCGTATGATTTTGCGACTGCACCTGGTAGATGAATTTTTTGAGCTTTGGGGTTGCAGGATTATTATCTGTGCTTACCTACGAGTGTTTCGATCATCCCTCTATCGAACGATACAGAAGAAACAGTATCGGAAATGTATTAGAAGCAAGTAGCACTACTTCGAACGAGACCGATCTCTCGCGGTCAAAAAAAGAAAGAATCGATCTTTCCGAAAGATCCACAAACACCCATGTAATATATGCTCACACGACACACCACATGCTACGACAAAAATACCATCGACGGTACTTTTTGTCGCGTAATCATCGTAATCCGACATGTAGAGACGTTAAACATTTTTTAGATTAAATATAACACGAATAGTATAGTGTTAACAGAGGAAAAATAATCGAGTTATAGATACTTTTGAAAAGAAAAAGAAACATTGTAGCAATTTAACGATTCACACCTTTTCCTAATCACGAGAAATTACACGTGAAACGCGATATACATGTACACTCACATACACGCATAGAACGACACGCGAGAGACGCAGAGGATCACATAGTGACACAACGAACGCACCACGAAAACGAAAGTTTTTGTCAGCGGGATTTTCTAACGATCGTATGTAAGCTTTTGGCGTTCTTCTCTCTCTCTCTCTCTCTCTCTATCTATCTATCTATCTCTCTATCTCTCTCTGGACTTTCCATTTTTAACTCTCTCTCTCTCTCTCTCTCTGTTGGATCTGTCTTTACGTTGTCGAGCTTCTTTTCGTAACCTTTTTTCATTGATTACGCTTCTGTTGCAAGCTGTATAAGAAACCGTAACAAAGCCCGGCCTATGTATATATATACATACATATACATGATAATTTTTGTGTGTATTATATTATTATTAATCACTATACTACTTCCATCGAATGACTCTTTTATAATTCGGTGTTCTTTGAACGAAGATGTGTTTTTTATTGTAATTCTCACGCTTTACCAATACAGAACCCGAGAACTCATATCTTTGTTATATTTCATGTGTTCTTTATACATGTATATTATATTATTCCATTTTGTACACGATTTTAACTGATCATATGTGTTTTTTCTATCGCTTGAATGCTTCGTCTTCTATCCACTAACCTATGATTTAATCTTATCTAGCGAATAGAACGGGTTGCTAGGAGATATTTACACGATGGGTCTATATATACAGGGACATCTTTCCTTTATTCTTATCTAATAGCTGTTCGCTCTCTTGGTTGATCACTGTACGCTTTTCTCTCAAAGTTTCTCTGTGCTCAGTCTACGTATGACGATGTACGATACGTTTGCAAAGATTCGTGGAAGCCAGAATTCCCGAGACTGTTTAACCCTTTCATTACTATTGGCGCCTGTAGGCGTTTTGAAGATTTGCTCGCGCTATATTGTTGAAGCCTTTCGATGCACTTTTACCTTCATTTCGTATTTAATTTTATCCTTAAGCACTAATTTAACGAACCGAATTTTAAAACGATACGGCCAAAATAACAAATTTCGCAGCCGTAGTTAAAAATTTACCGTCTGTCGCACACGTTACGCGTTAAAATCTATCGTAGCGAAAGGGTTAAAGGGCGCAACACCCATCCATTTGGAATATGTAAAAAAATAAAAAGAGAAAAACCATCGAACACACCCTCTGTCCATCCTTCAAAAATCACTAGAACCAACCTCTACGGCAATCCTATCCAAGGTAGCAATTATTTGGCGCAACTTGTCTAGGAAACCGGGCTAAACATCCATGACGTTTAAATCGCTCGAACAAGAAGAGATAAAGATCACGTCAGACAATAGGATGGAATCCAGGGTATTCGAAAGCTTCCACCGATCTTCCCTCGATGCAACGGTGCTCGCGTGTACATCGTAATAACATTTCCCTGTGCTATCAGTCGCGGGTATCAAACGTCCTCGGATATTCTTGGCGATCCGAGGCCGAAATAAAAGACGGCCGAGTTTCTCATCTCTGGCTGGGGGGAGGGGGAGGAGGGTTGGCTCGATTGCAGACCGATTTATCGTCGCGATCCTTTTCGTACGATAAATCGTGTCCACCCGAATCTTCAAGGGACCGTGACCATCCAAGTGAAACGTGGAGATAATAAAATGTTGAAAAATACTGCCTCGTCCTCGATCGTATTCTATTTCCGTTCCCCCTTTTGCGAAGTCGTCTCATTGTAAATGGTTTTGCACGAGCATGGGGAATCGTTCGAGTAATGTAATTATCGCCGAGCAACCCGTGCACCCA